TCTAATAAAAATAAATGTATTGCTCATGCATCTGTAGATGTTAGTAATGTATGGCAATCGCTTCTTTGATTTTAAAGAACATAACATACGTAAAATTTAAAAATAATCATACAGAAAGTTTGGGGCTTTTTGGTTTTACCTTATTAAGTAATTGTTATCAGGTAGTAATTGTTAATTTTGAAGTTTAACTTGATATAATCATAGATAAAAGAAAATAATCTTCTATTAAGATAGATATGAAACTTAATAATAAAATTTTGGTCAAAGCGCCCCTCCGTGTTCTTAGTAGAAACTACGTTTAACCCAGCGCCTTCGCCTTTTCTACTGTAAATATTTTTTATGTTTATATTTGATTTCAAAGGATATAATTTTAAAGTTACACTGATATATTAGTATATCAGAGTAACTTTAATAAAACATAAGAATATATATATTTTACAGTTTATTAAATATAAATTTTGACTACAAGGTAGAAAGTAAATCACAATATTTGATAAAACTTATAAATATACCATTTTTACAGTTAATAAATAATAAAACTATTTCTGATTATGATATTTAAAATTTAGATAGATAGAATATTAAAAAACATACCGGTATTTGCAGACGCAGGCCCAAATTCAATAAAAATCAAAATTTTTCCTGCGAAAATCGGGCTTTTTTTACAGAAAAGGTATTTTTTGATTTATCAACAATCATTGTCAAGTTGACAATATACAGGGTGTTTTCTAATTAGTCTAAAAAATTGTGGTGTGATTCCTCATGTGTTCTTAAAACAATTTTTATATAACCATTGGGTCTAAAGTGCTTCCTTTCTGATTTACAGGGTGTTAAGAATTAAAAAAAAATCGATATTTTGCTTAACATAAACGGTACACTACTGCTTTTTCAAAGAAAATATATTTTTTTCTTGACTGGCCATCCTTTTTCAACAAAATTGATCTTTTGAGTTTTTCTTGTTCATCAAACGGTTGCCGAGAAAAAAATAAATATACTTATTAAGAGCCCGCCTTAAGCCGTTTTCTAACGATTTTTTATTTTTTAGATTAATTAGGAAACACCCTGTAGATGCATATCACAGGCAACCAAATAAACTAGTAACCTCTAAAAATTATTTTTCCTACCACTAGCGACATACGGTGTTTTTAGTGAGTACTAAATTATTTATTATTTTATCAAAATTTCCCCATATAAGTTTCCAGACAATGGATATAATGTCATTTTAACAGCACGTCAACGGTTTGCTTAAAAAAAAACTAAAGTGTTCTCATAATAGTTTGAATTTAAATATTTTAAATAGTTTTTTTCTTTAATTTTTGAATTTTTTTGCTTCTGACGACGGAAAGAGATAGACGTTCCAAAACGTTAAGCATTTTTTTCTTTGTTAGGCAAATTTTCATAACTGTAAGTATAACTTCTGACACGCAGTGTCCGTTTAGGTATAACGCAGAAGTGTTTACAAAAAATAACTATTTTATTTTGTAGATGTTTCTTGCAGGGCAGTGGCAAAATACCCATAAAGGATTTTTTTGGAGAGATGAATCCGACATAGGTATAGACATTTTTTAATATTAATATTATTCTTCTTCTTTATCGTCTCTTCATGCCTGAAGAATCGTGACATTATGGCTATGTGCAGCTGGTGATTTTGATCTTTCATCGTTGGCGATATTCCGCGCGTCTCGGAGATTTGATTGAAATGGATGACCTGTAATATTTGCTATTTGGTCAAGCCATCATCGTACTATGAGTTTTTCAAGGTTGTCTTCCCCTCTGCGAGTGATATGACCGAAGTATTGCAGGATGCGTCTACGACAGATGGTGGATAATCGATATGTGATGCCGAGTTCATTAAGAATTGACTGGGCCCGAATTCTGTAACGTAGAAAACGCTAAGCGCTTTTAGACGCTCAGCGTATATGACGTTAATTTTTGCTGAGCGCGCACTTAACTAACGATTTGTGTATTCTCGTCTGACGCGCTTAGCGTCTTTACTGATTGCGCTAAGCGCTTTGAAAACGGTTGCCTTAAAGGATCGTTTTGCTTGTCGAACTGTCAGTGAAAATCGAAAAAATTGTGATTTCGTGCGTTATCTTGCTCTTTAGTGAAAACTACTACTTGTTCTATAAATTCCTAAATAAGTAATCGACAAATTACAAGTTGGTAGCTATAAATATTGTTCAAAACATCGAAAATGCTGAGAAGCGTCTTCAACACTTCCCTCGTATAATAAGAATAATGACATATCCATAGAAAAATAGGTTGACATAACTCAACAATAGGTTATAAAATTCACGTAACATTGACATTTTTCATTGTTTTAGTCACATTTGACTATTAGATACCTGCGAAATTACGATGCTGTCAATATGTGCTCAACGCGTATCCAGAAAACGATTCGCACACCAACGAGAATACCAAAATCGACTGCTTGACGTTCCGCTTATCGCATACTTTCGCTCACCGCTTTGAAAGCGTAACGTTTTTATGTCAAAGTTACAGAATTCGGGCCCTGGTTCGTTCTTCGAGCTGTCCATGGAATACGAAGAATTCTCCTCCAACACCACATCTCAAATGCGTCTATACAGTGTCTATCAGCGCTCTTGACGGTCCATGACTAAGATCCGTATAGGAATATGGAGAACACCAAAGATCGAATAATAAACACTTTAATATGCTACAAACAGAATACCTATTAACGAAAATAAAATAAAAAAATTATGCCCCGAGGCAGCCTCGAACTTGGGTCTCCCGGTGTACTAGCGGAATACTTTCGCGCCGCGCTATCAAGCCTTGCTCGATATATGTTCAAGCCTAGCATTCAACATTTTAAACTAAAAAAATAAATAGGGATTTCATTACAAGTTAAAGTCTGACTAGAAAAAAATCATAATCCTTGAATTATTGTTGGTACATTGATATATAAATAAAATCAGAAGAGACCGCTGCGATTAATTCTAGTTTTCTACCTTTTTCTCGACTAGAAAGCTAGTTACCGGTAGCGGCTAGAGAGCTATATTATATTTCGAGGTTTTTCATTTTTTCCTTTGGTTATAAGCTTTGAATAAGAAGACTAAGGAAGGAGCATAATGCTATCCATGTATTCATGCATGGTGGGCGGAAAAACCACCATAAAAGCTCTCTAGGGTGGGGATCCTTGACAGTTCTGTTTGACGATTCATTTGACACATTTGAATTTGATTTGAAATTTTGTGGATTTGTCAGTCTTTACGGAGCTTATTTTATGTTATTTATTATTTATTCTACTACTGATAGTTGTATAAAGGTAGTAAATCTAGATGGAAATTGTGGCAGAACTTAAATTAACAGTGACACTATCGCGATTTATCGAAAAAGACTCTAAAATAGTTGGCTGTGTAGCGTGCGGTAGATCTCGGCAAAAATTGAGTCGGCAAATAATGGAACAACGTTTCGCTAGTAAGTGACTATATAATATACATACGTGTAGTAAACCGATCATTTATGAAATTCACTTAAATTAACTAAATTATATATTTTTCTTGCATTTTAGCTTTTATTTATTACTTGTCAGAGATTAGATGTCAAAGAATTTAGATACGTTAATTTGACTTACCTGCTTCAGTAGCGTATCGGATGTTTGTGTTAATAAATATTTATTATAACTTATCTATTTTTATTAGAATTATATATTTTTATAACAATTTTAGTAACTACCAACATTTATTCACAACGTAAAATAAAACAACAAATTATTGAGTCTACCCCACGTCTACCCTACATCATAGTTTTACATTTTTTAAATAAAATTATAACGACACTGATAAACCGGAATTTAAGTCGGCCATATTTGAGGCCCATCGCGGTGTACCTAAGATTTTTGATATGCTCCTTCCTTAGTCTTCTTATTCAAAGGTTATAAGCTTAAAGCTACCTAAAATTCTAAATTTGGAGTTTGTGACACATCTAGAAGTACCTTAGAATTTTGATGATCTGTCAGTGAGTCAATGTCAAAATTAAAGAAATTTGACAAGCGATAATTCATAAACTATGAGGGATAATTACTAGATATTTTGGTAATCTCGCCAGCTACAGTATGTCTTCAAGTGTAATGAAAATTAATATTCTTGCTTTATTCACAACGAAGTTACAGGGTGGTAAAAAGTGCCGCTAATACCTTCGAGAAAAGGATGGTACGGCTGTGCTCGACTTACTGCCGTGCCCCCCAATAAAAAACTTTATTTTATGAATTGTTTAGTGTTTAATAAATAAAGTTTCTTTTTTGAAGCAGTGTGTTTACTTATCTACGAAATGTATTTGATTTTTAAAAGATTCTCGTATGTTTACAGTGTGCTTTTTGTAACTTTTCATATAGAATATAACTGATAATATTTTAGACATAACTCTGTAGAAGAAAATTATAACAGATTTGTCATATTGTGACATAACTTGTGATTGTTATATTTGTTTGATCAGGACCGCATTATTTTAAATTTTTGCCAAATTTAGTATTATTGTATCTCTCGTAACTCAAGAACGAATTCGTATAAACCATTCAAAATGAACAATTTGCTTCATTTTAAGGAGTTCTTTAAAAAGTTTCGAATAAATATTTCTGTAAAATAAAATGGGGAAAACTTAATCATTATTTTTAAAATTTACATGGGATTTCCTATGTCCAGGTCGGAAATGCGACACACGGTATAATATCAATTAATATTATAAATGAAGGGCCCAGTGGAAAAACATGCTAGCGCAATTTTACTAATTTTACAGGAAGGTACTGTACGGCTGATGGTTATCAGGTTCTTTCCCTGTATGTATATTTTTACTAGGCATATATCATAGGATGTAACAGCTCTTTGCCCTGCAGTGTTTATACATATTATAGAAACCAGTTAGACCTAATATAATAGTGTAAAATACTAAAATTAAGAAATTGGCGCTTATTATTAGTTTAGATTTATATTAAATAGCTAATGGTATTTGAGCTATGTGTTAAAATCAAAAATTTTTTCCAGTCATTGATAATGGTCCTGCGTACAAATCTGGCTACTCCAGGAAACTACAAGAACAATCTGAGGAAATAGGCGACCCCTTCGAAATATCTACTTTGAGGAAAGAGGACATTGCTGGACATAGAGGAGTTGCAGAGGGCGATGACGTACTTCAAGGACTACCTAAGCCTTCTTCACAATCGATGAGAGGACACCAAGGTAAATTACATACAGTCGCTAAGAATAGGAAAAGTTCCGCAAATTCTATTTATACGGGGTGTTTCAAAATACATGTGCCATCTCTCGTAGGGAGATTCCTCACGCAAAAATAAAATTGATTTCTCATATGAATATAGGTCCGATTCTGCTTTGTTTCGTAGCTACAGGGTGTTAAAATTAAAAAATTTTCGATTTATTATAATTTTCTTCCAAGTAAATGAAATTTTGAGGGTAAAAGTTGCTATAAATGCGACATATTTTAAAACTGAAAAACTGTCGACATATTCATATGGGTAATCAATGGAAAATTTTTCTAGAACAACATATACGCCACTGACTTTTTTTCTCTTGTTAACGAAATAGTGTAAGCAGTTTAATGCCGATTAAAAGTTGTCTCTTGATATCTTGTCGATTTCGGCCTTCTTGATGAGATAAACGCAATTTTATTAATTTGTCTTGATCCAAGTCTATTAGCAACCTTTAACGGGCGAAAATTGTTAGTACACTCAACAGGGCCCTTATTCTCACAAACCATAAACATCGGCACGAAGGAACAGTAAACGATTTTATTTAGATTACTTTTAAACTGAAATTATTTACAGCACAAATAGATTCCATTAAATGCATACACATGTTATACCGGGTTGTTCACTACATACGACACGGAGTATTGTAGCTAAACAATTATATTTTTACAAATTTCAAATTTTGGGTTCGATGAAGGACTATTAGAGGTACAATTTAAAAATAATTTACAAGATACAGAGTGTCCCAAATAAGTAAAAAATATCAAAGTTGTATTTTTTTTAATGGAACACCCTGTATATTATTACATTTTTAGTTTCTACGATTAAAATAAAGGTAAATGTGATTAAGGTTTATTAAAACCTTACCGTTTTTGAAATATTTTCAATTTTGTGAAGTGGCAGTAAAAATTTTAAGGCTTCATTTCTCCAAGGGTATCAAAGTTTTTAATACTAAATATTTACTGAAGTTTATTTATTGATCAGTTATTGTGTTGCAATAATAAAAATAATACTACCTTATACAGAGTGTCTAAAAATTTATTTTAAATTATTTATAGATTTAAACGCCAATAACTTGTTTAATTTAAATGGAACGCCCTGTATATTTTAGGAGAATCAGATGCACAATTTAATTGTCTATCAAATTGTATTACACCATTTTTACATATCCCTTCAAGTTTTCGTAGAAAATGAATTTTCTTATGATTTAGACCTCATTCATCAATATACCCATGGAATATTGACATTTTATTATTGACACCTATGGAATATTGACATCATATATTGACATTTTAGTAATATTATCGTTATATCGGAATATTGACATCATATAAATCGTTATATCGGAATATTGACATTCTAGTAATATTATCGTTTTGCTAAAAACAATAATGTTGTATGCAAAAAGAAAACTATTTAAATCTGTATAAAAGAGTATACCATTAATTAAATATAGCACCATTATTTCCGCCCATATACTAATTAATTACATACTTAATTGTATTCGTTAATAAATTATTCTAAATAAATGTGGATTTGAGTCAGAAATCAATATAATAATAAGTTATCAAAATTAAAGTCTCTGTTGTTATAAATAAGCATTTATTAAAAAATGAAATATCATTTTTAAGGTGTTACTTTTTATCACACTGTCTAATACCCATACAAAATTCAGTTTTTTTAGTATTTGGAACAATTATTATTAATCAATGCAGTCAGTTAATGTAGTTTAAATACTGGAATCATATTAATTGGTCCTCTTTAACAAATATTTAAACAGTTTTTTTATTTTTTAATGAAATAAACGAATTATATCCACAATATTAGTATCTGTACTTTCTGAAAATTCATTACAGCTTTAAAAATAATCTAAAATGTCAATATTCCATGGGTATATTGATAAATAAATTCTAAATTACAAGAAAATGCATTTTCTACGGAAACTTAAAGAGATAGGTAAAAAATGGTATAACATAATTTGATAGAGAATTAAATTGTGCATCTGATTCTCGTAAAATATGCAGGGTGTTCCATTTAAATTAAACAAGTTATTGCCGTTTGAAGGTAATAATTATTTAAAATAAATTTTTAGACACTCTGTATAAGGAAGTATTATTTTTATTATTGCAACACAATAACTGATCAATAAATAAACTTCAGTAAATATTTAGTATTAAAAACTTTGGTACCCTTGGAGAAATAAAGTCTTAAAATTTTTACTGCAATTTCACAAAATTGAAAATATTTCAAAAACGGTAAGGTTTAAGTATAATAATACACATACAATAAACCTTAATCAAATTTACCTTTATTTTAATCGTAGAAACTAAAAATGCCATTTAAAAAAATACAACTTTGATATTTTTTACTTATTTGGGACACTCTGTATGTTGTAAAATTATTTTTAAATTGTACCTCTAATAGTCCTTCATCGAACCCAAGATTTACAATTTGTAAAAATCTCATCGTTTAGCTGCAATACTCCGTGTCGTATGTGGTGAACAACCCTGTATATTGTCTTTGTCAGATCAAATAAATAAGGAAAAATTTTAGAACAGAATTACAACAAGAAAACAGAATAATACGATTTAGTTAACATTAGTTAAATAATGAGAAAACATTTACTTTACCTTTAATAACATAATAAATTGAAAGATTATTAAGACCTTAACACCCTGTAGCTACGAAACAAAGCAGAATCGGACCTATGTTGATATGAAAAATAAATATCATTTTTACGTGAGGAATCTCCCCTCGAGAGATGGTTTTTTTTTATTTGAGACACCCTCTATAAGGCAATTTTGATGAATATTCAAGGAGTTCCAAAAAAAAATATTCTTCTGTATTTTTGAAAAAAAAAACAGCTAATAAAAATAATTATTTACAATGCAATACTTAGTACAGAAGCATTTATATGGCTCTATTTGAAGAGATGCAAAAAGTTAAAGCGAGAATCTAAGTATGTCATTGAATTCTACGTGAAAATCTTTATGAGTCATCGCATCTGTGAAAATATCTACTCATAAACGAGATTTCGTAATATATCTACAAATTCATTTACCCGCTAGTAGTTATAAAAAGCATTTTTGTATACTCTGTCTCGAATAGTTTCTAAAAAATAAAATTAATTTTTTTAAAAAGGGCCGATTAAATTTATATCTCCGAAACTAAAGTTCCAAAAAAATTCGTAATATATCTAGAAATTCATTTACCCACTAGTAGTTATAAAAAGCATTTTTGGTAAACTCTGTCTCTAATAGTTTCTGAAAATTAATATTAATTTTTTTTAAAAGGTCCGATTAAATTTATATCTCCGAAACTAAAGTTCCAAGAAAAGTCGTAATATATCTACAAATTCATTTACCCACTAGCAGTTATAAAAATAATTTTTGGTAAACTCTGTCTCTAATAGTTTCTGAAAAATAAAATTATTTTTTTTTAAAATGTCCAATTAAATGTATATCTCCGAAACTAAAGTTCCAAGAAAATTCGTAATAAATCTACAAATTCATTTACCCGCTAGTAGTTATAAAAAGCATTTTTGGTAAACTCTGTCTCTAATAGTTTCTGAAAAATAATATTAATTTTTTTAAAAAGGTCCGATTAAATTTATATCTCCGAAACTAAAGTTCCAAAAAAATTCGTAATATATCTAGAAATTCATTTACCCACTAGTAGTTATAAAAAGCATTTTTGGTAAACTCTGTCTCTAATAGTTTCTGAAAAATAATATTAATTTTTTTATAAAGGTCCGATTAAATTTATATCTCCGAAACTAAAGTTCCAAGAAAATTCGTAATATATCTACATATTCATTTACCCACTAGCAGTTATAAAAATAATTTTTGGTAAACTCTGTCTCTAATAGTTTCTGAAAAATAAAATTAATTTTTTTAAAAATGTCCTATTAAATTTATATCTCCGAAACTAAAGTTCCAAAAAAATTCGTAATATATCTAGAAATTCATTTACCCACTAGTAGTTATAAAAAGCATTTTTGGTAAACTCTGTCTCTAATAGTTTCTGAAAAATAATATTAATTTTTTTAAAAAGGTCCGATTAAATTTATATCTCCGAAACTAAAGTTCCAAGAAAATTCGTAATATATCTACATATTCATTTACCCACTAGCAGTTATAAAAATAATTTTTGGTAAACTCTGTCTCTAATAGTTTCTGAAAAATAAAATTTGTTTTTTTTTAAATGTCCAATTAAATGTATATCTCCGAAACTAAAGTTCCAAGAAAATTCGTAATAGATCTACAAATTCATTTACCCGCTAGTAGTTATAAAAAGCATTTTTGGTAAACTCTGTCTCTAATAGTTTCTGAAAAATAATATTAATTTTTTTAAAAAGGTCCGATTAAATTTATATCTCCGAAACTAAAGTTCCAAGAAAATTCGTAATATATCTACATATTCATTTACCCACTAGCAGTTATAAAAATAATTTTTGGTAAACTCTGTCTCTAATAGTTTCTGAAAAATAAAATTAATTTTTTTAAAAATGTCCGATTAAATTTATATCTCCGAAACTAAAGTTCCAAAAAAATTCGTAATATATCTAGAAATTGATTTACCCACTAGTAGTTATAAAAAGCATTTTTGGTAAACTCTGTCTCTAATAGTTTCTGAAAAATAATATTAATTTTTTTAAAAAGGTCCGATTAAATTTATATCTCCGAAACTAAAGTTCCAAGAAAATTCGTAATATATCTACAAATTCATTTACCCACTAGTAGTTATAAAAATCATTTTTGGTAAGCTCCAAAAAAATTCGTAATATATCTAGAAATTGATTTACCCACTAGTAGTTATAAAAAGCATTTTTGGTAAACTCTGTCTCTAATAGTTTCTGAAAAATAATATTAATTTTTTTAAAAAGGTCCGATTAAATTTATATCTCCGAAACTAAAGTACCAAGAAAATTCGTAATATATCTACAAATTCATTTACCCACTAGTAGTTATAAAAATCATTTTTGGTAAGCTCTGTCTCTAATAGTTTCTGAAAAATAATTTTTTTTTTTTTAAATGTCCAATTAAATGTATATCTCCGAAACTAAAGTTCCAAGAAAATTCGTAATAGATCTACAAATTCATTTACTCGCTAGTAGTAATAAAAAGCATTTTTGGTAAACTCTGTCTCTAATAGTTTCTGAAAAATAATATTAATTTTTTTAAAAAGGTCCGATTAAATTTATATCTCCGAAACTAAAGTTCCAAAAAAATTCGTAATATATCTAGAAATTCATTTACCCACTAGTAGTTATAAAAATCATTTTTGGTAAACTCTGTCTCTAATAGTTTCCGAAAAAAAAATTATTTTTTTTAAAAATGTCCGATTAAATGTATATCTCCGAAACTAAAGTTCCAAGAAAAGTCGTAATATATCTACAAATTCATTTACCCACTAGTAGTTATAAAAAGCATTTTTGGTAAACTCTGTCTCTAATAGTTTCTGAAAAATAAAATTAATTTTTTTTAAAATGTCCGATTAAATGTATATCTCCGAAACTAAAGTTCCAAGAAAATTCGTAATATATCTACAAATTCATTTACCCGCTAGTAGTTATAAAAAGCATTTTTGGTAAACTCTGTCTCTAATAGTTTCTGAAAAATAAAATTAATTTTTTTAAAAAGGTCCGATTAAATTTATATCTCCGAAACTAAAGTTCCAAAAAAATTCGTAATATATCTAGAAATTCATTTACCCACTGGTAGTTATACAAATACTGGAACCCGGGGGGAATACACAAAAATGGACCTCCCTGTATTTATAGCGATATTTCTTATTATTTTCAGGTCCCGCAGCGTTCTTGCTGTTGGCCTCTGGACTGGATAAATATGGATCTGGTTCTCCCAGTCCACTGAAATACAGCCATTTGGATATTGCAGCATCGTCTGGAGACCTTCCCCGTCCTGCTACAGGATCACCTATTTTAGCTCTGGCAAAAACTTACCTCCTATAAAAACGGTATCAGTTCGCACTGTACTTTTTTATAATAAGCATTTTATTAACAGTTTATACGCTTTGTTTTGATTTAAACTTTGCAGTCTTCTTATATCTTATGGTTATTTTTTGTTTTGTATTTAAATTGTATTTTTCTTGGGAGAAATAAAATATTTTTATAAAGGCTACATATTAAGTTGTTTTTTAAACGAGGCATCAAGTTGCAAAACCCGGCTTATCAATTTTTTAATAAAAATGGCCTAATGACATATATTAATAGTGGGCCCTGAAATCTACATAAACATAGTACCAAACTGCAGCAAAAGCCTATTCCTATATAAAATTCACTAAAAATTACGTTACTGTAGCAAAATCCGTTTTATCAACATATATTTGCTTTTTATTGTCATTATTGTTACAAATCCCGCATTTTTCGTAGGCTTTTTACACAAGTATAATGTTTCTGCTGCCGTCTTATCCATCTCAAATCGCTTACTTTTAATAAAATAGAATATCTAATAAATCAAGTTATGTTGCAAATATTGCTGTATCAAAACCCAAAATATGCATCATACTGCAACAAAACCCGCCTTATCCGAATTATTGATATGTTTTTTTTCACAACTAAAAAATACTAATTTTTATTTCTAGAAAAACGAGATACAAAACAGTGTTTCCACTCAATGGACACGTTTTTTTTTTTGGAAAATAAATCTTGTAGCAACGTTTTTGCGATAAAACGGGGTTCGCAAGGTTTTGACCAAACTTGTCCTAAAAAGCTTTTGGGAAACGGGTTGTGTATAGAATCATATTTTTACAACTTCAACTATTTCAAATAATAAAGGCATTTTGAAAAAGCAATTAAAAGATAAAAAAAAACGCTGATAAGACTATCAAAATGTTGATCTAATAACAATTTGACGTTTATACTATTACGTCACAAGCAACTTTTTTCCAAAGCCTACCATGACTTCACTGAATCATCGTTTCTTGTTCACTGTTATTAATATCTTAATTATTAGATATTAATACCTCTGGTATAATGGTACTCTGGTATTTCGTCGATTTTAAAATAAACTAACTGTTTCTATCTTATTTTTTATTAGAATGGGCATAATTAAGAGGGCTACTGATATCGTGTTGTAAAAATAAGGTAATTAAGGGCTTACTTTTTGGTATTTATTATAATTTTGCTAATATCTTCGGTGTGAAAGAAGATATCAAAATGCGTTTTCCGCTGACTTTTTAAGCTTTTACTACTCTTTACTATCAGCTAAAATTACATATACTATTGCATTTAATTTTTTTGAAAAAACGCGCAATGTTTGTTATATTGTAAAACAACGCCCCCTAGCGTCTACGTTCAAAAGCTTATTATTATTGTTGTTGTACCATATATAGAGTAAGAATCGCTCTTTTAAACAAGCCCTCGCTTGTTGGATTTCGATCATTCAGTCCAGAGTTATTAATATTTAAATAAAAACAGATCTAACCTTCCCCCACCACTTTATTTTGGTAGATAGGGGAAAATGGCTCTAACAAAAAATATTCAAAATTTACTGAAGATTATGAAGCTATCTAGGTAAAAATGTGTAAAAACTCCTTTAGTTTATAAATATTTTTTTCCGTAAACCCTACGGCTAAAGCTTGATTTTCATGCATCCGTTGTCCGACAATACGATGATACGATATTAATTTTATTGGTTGAATTGAAAGACTTCGATTGGATAACTGTTTCTAACCAATTGAAGTCTTTAAAGTCAACCAATAGAATTAATATCGGACCATCGTATCAACGGATAACGGATGCATGAAAATCAAGCTTAATACTTTCCGAGATACTATTTGACCAGCGGATCTAAAGCTACGGAAGGAATGCGAGAAAAAAAAAATCGATATTGCCACGTTTATCTATAAAATAGCAAAGTTGCCAGACATGAACTATAAATTTAATATGTTTTTATTATATATAATGTGTTTAGCATATATTCTGACGTATATTACTAAGAAATTTTAACGTAGTTCATATTGTTCGATATGTTTTATTTAATAACTTATTTCTTTCATTCTGTATAATCTGCTTCTTATGAAAGTTGAAGATTTTTCAACGATATCATTGGCAAACCGGCATCGCCGCGCATGGCCGCCTATTCATCGAACATGATTGGCGAGAGTACGTCACAGGATTTGTTACCACGCGGTTGCCATGGCTTTTACGCCTTTCCTATTCGCTTGCTTTATCCCCAACTTCACGGTCTCTTCTGAAAAGAGTAGGAATATTGAATACTATTGAAATATCCAGTGGCGGTGTCATTTCTTTGATCATTATTACTTTATTTCATTATTTTATACCGGTTATCCTAAACTTTATTCCTATATTTTTCGTATATTTGATAGTTAAGTTGTGTTTTATTGTTTTGTTATCTTGTTATAATGTTTTTTGTTCGTAGTTTTTAATTATTAATTTAAAATGAATAAATTTGTTAAGAGTAAGACGCTACACAGTCAGACAAGAGAAATAATAGCTAATTTATATAGGTAAGTTAATAATAATGTGGATGAAATCTCATTTGGTTTATTTCCTTGTGCTCATAATAGGGTTTGCGATGAAGAAGCTACAGACAGTTCGCTTAAGTTGCCGCTTAAACGTAAACTTGAGCGGATATTTCTTTATACCGGAGTTAGCGTATCGGCTATAAAAAAATTCACACAGAAGATAAAAAAAAGGTTGAAAACTAACCCCGATAAAATGATATCCAGCTCTGGAAAGAAACGGCCACGTGAGACTGCTGTCGAAAAGCTCGACGACTTTTTCGAAGTGGTCAGGAATTTGATAAATAGATTTTATCTCGAATTCAAACTCGTCCCCACAATTAGAAAGCTTTTGCAAAAATTGCAGGAAGAATCGAATTTTCCTTTTGCAGGGAAACGCTTAGGGGGTTATTAAAATCAAATGAATTTTTTTGGCGTAAATGTCAAAATAACAGATAAATATTAATGGAGCGGCCCATTATATTACAGAGAGAGAGAGATATAAATATATACGCGAAATTTGAAAATATAGCCAAGTATTATCTATTTGGATGAAACATATGGGTAGACAATGACCTAACCTTTAAAAACTGCTGGCGGAGCGATACCATATCTGGTGTAATAGGCAATATTGGATCTACTGGTGAGTAAAATTATGTTTTGTTTGCGCTTCCAAAGTTAACTATTTTCAAGATTTTTTTTTTCCTGGAAATAGTTATATCTAAAATTATGTATTATAGAAAAAAATATAGTTAGTACAGATATATAAATAAATATACCTCAAGACTCAGTCTTGATCATCTGCTGATGGCAGACATGGTTAGCGAAACGCGCGTCCAGCGTAAAATTAAAAGTGTTTTGGTGTATTGTACTGATTTAGTGTTTTATTTTGCTGTGTAACACCAAAGGTTCCAACCCCCAGCTGTAATTATTTCTTCTATTATATTAACAACAAAATAATTGGAAAATTGGGCGTGTTTTGTTTACAACTGCGTTCCCCTGCCGATACCCCGTAGCTACAGATCCGTTGGTCACACTATACAGCCGAGAGCTATTCCTAGTGGGACACCCGGTCACACTCGTCGAGGCGACCCGAGGCGCGACAAAAAATTAACGATATATATATTCTTATTGGTTTGGACCTTCCTTTTTTATCGCGTCTCGTGTCGCCTCGGCGAGTGTGTACTTCCAGCATTACTGAGAGCAACGACGATTGAACTTGTTCCCATAGCTAACTAAGTGAAATTGTTTAGAAATGACAAGAATTGGCTATAACTCAGTAATTTTTCAAAAGAAACATATTATAGCTTATATCGCTCAAAAGCTTAAAAATGGCACTTTTTATGAAGTCATGGCGAACTATGGTTTCCATTTCAAAAACATATGTTTGTGTTGTATGTCAAAAATGATAGGCTCTAGAAAAGAACGGTGGACAGAATCTCATTAAGGATGTGATTTATCTACAACTTTTATCTGAAAACTTTTTGTCTAAAATAGATTATAATGGAATTAGGGACAATCTTTGAAATAGACGATCTAATCGAATATCTAGTAAGCTTATATAATATATATATATATATATATATATATATATATATATATATATATATTATATAAGTTTTGTCAAATACCTGAAAGGCGCATGTTTATGACCGCACAAAACTGCAATTCTTTTCCCATTTAACCGAATCTCTATCTCCATTAGTTTCCGAGATAACCATATAGAACATCGTAACAAACTCACCCTGTATATATTAAAAATCATAAATAAAAATATTCTCTTTCGAGTAGAATTTAGAAAAAAAGCAATTATATCTCCTGAATTCAAAAATACATAGCCATTACAATTGACTGACATTGACACTGACAAAAATCATGGCACTATGCTACCCATCCATACCGAGCCGTCATAAATTATTCCTTATACGAAATTAACCTCATTATAGAAGAATACGACGAAACGCACTCCCTGTTTGCATTGTTGCAGTTGCATAATATTGACATTCCGCGATGAAAGTGTATATATATGCTAGGATACTACTTTCCTAGCGGCGAAACGAGGGCCGCATATAAAACTTGACCGTTTATTTACACTGTGGCAGTAAAGTAATACTAATTTCCAATACTAGGATGCACCGAACAGGCTTTGTTTTATTATTAGGAAGGCTTTTACTAGAGTCAGTAGCGCAGAGGAGATTTTAAACAAATAGATAATTTAATAGAATATTACTTTGAATGAATGTGGTGGACAATGATGCAGTATTGAAACTAAAAAAGTTTTCGACCAACACTGTCTTTATTTAGCTTACTTACACAACGTTTCAATCAGATATAATCACTGACCGGTATCACAAAATTTGAACAACGTACAGCAAGGCAAAGCCTGTGCAAAATGCAGAGATTAGCATGGACAGCACCCATGAGAACATGTCCAACAGCCGCAATGGAAGTCGTTCGAAAATTCCACTCCTCCAGCTCCCAGTGGGTGACATACCAAGAACGTACAACTTTGAGAAACAACTCACTGTATGTAGTATTGAGCAATATAAAGGATTGGGAGAGAAACGTTTGCTCAGCATGTAAAAGACCATACCAAAACGTGGTATACATATATATATATATATATATATATATATATATATATATATATATATATATATATATATATCTTTTCCGATAGCCTTCTTCTTCTTCTACTACTTATTTTAGATCTAGTCGAAGTTTTAAGACTGACTCTGTAGGAGTTCTTGGGAGATGGACTGCCAACCATCTTTCCATGTTTTTGGAGGTCTTCCCGGCTGTCCCTTACCCATGGGCTTCAAGAGATATGCGTGGTAGCCTGTTTTACTTGTGCGAACCATTGTTTTTTTCTTTGCCAACCCCATCTCACTACGTCCCGTATTCCATATTGTTGTTTGATATTTGTGTTTCTAATTCTTCTAGTCTCTTCTAGTCTTCCCCATTATGGTTCTTAGGTTCTTCATTTCAGATTAAAAGCGACCAACTCAGTAACCATCAATTCGAAGTTGGTCAAAGACCTAGAGAAACTGAACAAATTAGGCAGCGATAATGAAGTCCTCTCTGGGTATTTCTGTACTCTAGTGTTTCTGGATGTTCTTATCAGTAGAAGCGATGGATCCATTGGCAATGCTGTATATAGAAAAACCACATATATGGGAGGATATTTAGTTCTCGGTTGAACCATTCTGAAGTAACCAAAAGAGGTATTGTTAAAACATTGTCATCAAGCAATCACTATATGCAGTGACCAAAAATCACCTGAATTCTGAACTAAGTAGTACAAGACCTGAATTCTGAACTAAGTAATATTAAATCGGATGTACTTCAGAATGGTTTCTCTGCAAACTCCCTCGATAAGATTATACCCAATTTATAATTATGTGACAAAAATTAGCTAGATGAAATCCATGACCAAAATTCTTTCTGAAAGTGATTCTCTTAAAAAAGACCTTTTCATCTTAAGATGCATATTATGTGGAGTTCTACTTCGAAAAGCAGTCATAATCTATTTGCTCATGTTGTGGACAATAGGTGGTTGAGTTTTGTAAACACTGTCTTTACCATATCCCCATAAAAAAAGTCCAGATTATATAAATCAGGAGCATATAAGCAGTAGTATCGGCAGACACCATTTGATAGAACCAGATCACTTCTCCCTAAAGCTAGGTTGACACGGGTAGTGAAGCACGATCGTAGCCCACACATTCGTGGACCACGCCTCATGTCAACAGTAGATTCGTCAAAGAAGTATAGAAACGAATCAATACGAAAGACGCCACGATCGTGAATAAGCAAATCAAACGTGTTAGATATTTCACGAACCAAATCGATAGTGAATAAGAAGTCGCAGAGGAAGTTGAGGTAAAAAAAGCATATTTTGCACTATTCTCGCATTAGAAAATATTTTTATATACAGTAATGACACGCAAGTAAATTAGAAATATCTGATGAAAAGACGTAAAATAGTAAATATTGACAACTCTGTGAAGAGATATTGATATGAATGCCACAATTAATTATTTTTACTCGTCTTTTAATGTCGTAATATTTGGGACATTAGTGTACAACCTTCCACGAAAGGAACTTTATAGAAGACTGGCGCGTTTGTCGTGTAAACAGCCTACGATCGCTGGACGATTTTCGTTTTTCACGAATGGTTTTTTTATACTTTCGTACTTCACGAAAGTGTGGGCCACGAATGTGCTTCACTACCCGCGTCAAACCAGCTTTATGTAGAATATGTTTCCATTTTCAGCAATTTTCTGAGAATGTAGTTGTTGTTAAAGTTAAACTAATTTGAGAGTTATGTTGAAGTAATGTCAGACATATCACAGCCACCTAGATTTTATCAAATATTAAAGATCTACTGATCCTAATTCATAAAAATTTAAATATCTAGGGAAATCTTTATTTGAGGGGTAGGCAACCTTTATAGTATTTTGAAGAAACACGATTTCTTTATTGAATATCGGAATAATATACTAAGTGTTTACTAATATACTATTTAAAATAAAACAGCAGCTTGCCTTTAGAGCTGGTCAATGTTCAATATTCATTTTTTCTCACCCTGTACAACTTTTACGTCAAGTTTTAGTTTGATTTAAAGAATAACAGTTATTTTAACTACATATTAGGCTATATACCGGGTAAAATCCAATTTAGGTAGCTTTTATTAAAGTTTAAATTTTGTTCTTCATTTTTAGAAAATATTAAATATTATGTCCCTATATTTTAGTTATACAGGGTGGTCCGAACTGTATTCCGGAAACTTCGGCAGTATATTCTGCAGATAAAAATAAGTAAAAAAGTTCGTATAAATGTATCCTAAAATGCTTGGTTTTGGAGATACAGGGTGTAGAAGTTTCATTTTTATTTTGATTTTTTCCAAATAATTTCTGGAGTGTCTGGGAGTTTTTTGACATGAGAAATTTGATTTGATGTCAATATGACTCAGAGGATTATTACTTGTAGAGGGCGCCACCTACATATTTTTAACTGGTTTGAAAAGTAATAATTTTTGTCCGTACCTGTATAAAACTACTGAGTAAAAATATATACATTTACGACAGTTTTTACGTAAAAAAGGTATATGGGTAAAAATCGCTACGATGAATGGTTCTCGAGATATTTGGAAACGAAATTAGGCAGTACCTTTCATCATTGACATAAATTAAATATGTTGACTAAATAGTTATTAGACTGAAATTATAAATTTGAAATATTTGCGTGTCAAAAGTTCAACAGAAACTGTTTTATCATTTTTTCGCAGAAAAATTTATTATTAATTAAAAAAAAATCCCAAATTTATAATTTCAATCAAATAACTATCTACTCAACGTGTTTATTTTTTGTCAATAATGACATGTATTGACTATTTCCATTCTAAATATCCTGAGAACGGTTGCTCGTAGCCATTTTTACCAAGTGACCTTTTATACGTAGAAAAAATGTATATTTTTTCACTCAGTAGTTTTATACAGGCAGAGATAAAAGGTCGAGTAAAAAGTTAATATTTTTCAAAACAGTTAAAAAACATGTAGGTGGCGCCCCCTACAAATAGGAGTCATATTGACACCAAAATCAAATTTCTCTTGTCAAAAAACATCCAGACACCAATTTTCATCCAAATATTGACGTTATATTACTTCATAAATTATTTGGAAAAAATCGAAATAAAAATTAAATTTCTACACCCTGTATCTTCGAAACTAAGCATTTTAAGACATACATTTATACGAACTTTGTTACTTATTTTTATCTGTAGACTATGCTGCCGAAGTTTCCGGAATACAGTTCGGACCACCCTGTATATTTCTGTATTGAAACTTACCTTTATTACACCTAGAGTCCGAAAATAAATTAATATATAGAGTTTTCCATTACAAAAAACAGAACTTTAATGTGTAACTTTTTTTCGGGACACCCTGTAAAACTCTGTTGTAAATTAACTTAACATTTACTTACAAAGTTCCATTGCAATACAAACTGCCGTTCTCCTTGAAGCATCCGCGTCGTATGAGAAGCACCACTCTGTATATTTATGTTACTGGGAAAGTTCGTAATAAGTGAGTGAATGTCTACATTCACCAGTCAACAGCGACAAACAATAAACGAGTCGGTCAACGACCGACCGTTTCTAATTTTATCATAAATTTGGACTTTCACCGGTGTATATCGGCACACAACAAGCCAGCTCCGGTGAAAGGTGGAAAAGGTTATTCCTTGTCCTCGCTTCTATCGTTCTCTGTGTTGGTTTGGCGTCAGTGTTACGCAAGGTTTGATAGCGTGCGTGTGCTTTTACAAACTTGCTCTATGTTGTTATAATTTGTGTTCAATGGCCGCTCCAGTGAATCGTGATCAGTTTTTTAAAAAACTACATACCCTAATTGAAAGTAAACGAAAAGACAATTGCTTTTATTTTTCTAAAGAAAAATATTCTAAAATCTTGTCTGAAGTGATTTCCGCTAAAACTAAGTGCTGTACACCTTCGGACTACAGACGTTTAAAACGTTTTGACATATTAAATGTTGGTGATGAACAAAAGTTGATTGTGCCATTAAAACCAGGAGAAACAAATATCCAGTACTATGTTACAAATGACGAGCTGTTTGATATACTTTCCGAAACTCACGTGAGAACAGGCCATGGAGGAAGAACACGAATGCTGAACGAATTGCAACTTAAATACAAAAACGTTACTTATGAAGTTACCATGTTGTATTTAAATTTGTGCCAGCAATGTCAAAGGAAACACAGTACGCATAAAAAATGTGTTGTTAAACCAATAGTCGGTTCCCAATTACATTCTAGATGTCAAGTGAACTTACTCGACTGGGAACTACACAGTGATAGTGACTACAAATTTATAATGGTATTTCAAGACCATTTAACTAAGTTTGTCCAGTTACGACCTTTAAAAACCAAGAGAGCGGACGAAGCAGCATATCATCTACTTCACATTTTTTTGACGTTTGGTGCTCCCGCCATATTGCATTCAGATAACGGTAGAGAATTCAGTGATCAAATCATATCTGAACTAAACGCCATGTGGAAAGATGTTAAAATTGTGCACGGAAAAGACACAGTCGAAAGAGACTATCGGGATATACAGAATATGTTAACTGCATGGATGCAAGATAATAGTTCGAATAATTGGTCAGAAGGTTTGTCGTTTGTCCAATTCACCAAAAATACAACTTATCATGCTGAAATACGCCAGAGTCCATATGAAGCCATGTTTGGCACTAAGCCAAGAAGGGGCATAGAATCGACATCTCTTCCTGGACAAATTACAAACATTAGAACGGAGGAAGAGCTAGAAGCCTACGTTAATACTTTTGATGAAAATTTGATTAGTGACCATATTGATGACCAAGCCAAAATAGGCATAGCATCGTCATCCCTTCCTGGACATATTACAAACATTAAAACAGAGCATGAGCTAGAAGTCTACGGAAATAATTTTGATGAAAATTTGATTAGTGACCATACTGATGACCAAGCCATGTTTGACGTTATGCCAGATAGGAGCATAGCACCGTCATCTTTTCCTGGACAAATTACGAACATTAAAACGGAAAAAGAGTTAGAAGCATACGTTAATAATTTTGATCAAAATTTGATTAGTGGCCATACTGATGACCAAGTCATGTTTGACGTTAAGCCAGAAATGTGTGTAGCATGGCCATCTCTTCCTGGACAAATTACAAACATTAAAACTGAACAAGACCGAGAATCATACGTTAATACTTTAGATGAAAATTTAATTAGTAACCATATTGATGACCATGATTTAGATGAAAACGACATACATGACAAAAATACCATTGAAGCTTTATCTCAAGTACCGATTGATCCGCAACCAAGCACATCTCCATCTCAAGCGCTAACTGAAGAGCATGAGTTAATTTCTTTAAAAAGAGTAGCCTCAAAACGAAATCTTCGACTTCAAGCAACAAAAATGCTACGAATCTCAAAAGAATAAGAAATTAAACTCTCTGACTTTTATGTTGCTTGAAATGGTCATTTGTCATGGTAGTTTAAGTTGTTGCAATAAATAATAAAATTACCATCAATTTGCTTTGTTTTTTTATATTCCAGTTTAAAAATTGAAACACAATATTATTTTAGTTGTATTTAATTTTAGGTTCAATAATTTCTTTGTGTTTATTGAAAAACTTTTCCATGCTTAATAAATAAATATTTATAACTTATAGAATTTAATTTTTATTTTCATTTTTGTATTAGGTAGAATTTGTTAATTTTGAAGTTTAACTTGATATAATGTCATTTAAATAGAACGTCAACAGTTTTTGTAGACGTTTGTAGAATTGTTCTCGAATAGTGGCATTTAGATATTTTAAATATGTTTTTCTTTGTTATTTGTATTTTTTACTTCCGACGACGGAAAGAGATATATACCCCCTTACTATTTTAATAAAAAGTTACATTTCAAACTAATTTTTCGTGGAAATCAATAGATACTAAAGTTATGTTAAAAAATAACACAAAAAAGGGAAAACTTTCTCAAAGTTTAATAATATATTTTGCCAAAATACAAAAAAAATGCAAATTCCATAAAGAAAAATGTTTGACAAAAAAGAGAAAATAAATAAATAAATAATAAATTCTGGCAAAATTAAGGTTACTAAAATAAAGTATTGCCTCCTCGATTTGTTATGAGTGCATCAAGTCTTCGGGACATCCCCACTATAAGGTTGTTTATGGTTTCTTGAGGTAAGTTCTGCCATTCCTCTTGAACGGCAATGATCAACTCTGGCGATTTCTTGGTGGGATATTTATGGTGATATATACAGCTCTGATGATGTAGTCCCAGGCATGTTCAATAGGATTCATATTGGGGGAGAGTGGAGGCTAGTCCAAACGAGTTATTTCCCCTTCATTTTCTTCCTGGACCAACCTAGCTCTGTGAGGACGAGCTTATCCATGAGAATAAAATTATTGCTTTTCTTCTAAAAATTTCTTCTCGCAGTGGATAAATTATTGGTCTGATTACAGTTTCCACATACAAATGGGCGTTCATCACCTTAAGAATATAAATGAGCACTGTTCGTCTATTATACATGATGCCACCCCAGATTATCTCAGTTCCTCCTTGATAAGGAGCAACAACAGGGGCTGTATTCAAGCGATGCTGCCTTCCTATCTCCCTCCACACTCGCTGACGATAGTCATCACTGATCAAACCTATCCTGGTTTCGTCAGTAAAAGCTACGTTTCTCCAGTGAGGTAATAACCAGTTCTAATGTTCTCTAGCCCACTGTAGCCTCCTTTGCCTATGGTGTAAAGTTAATAGAGTGACTCGCAGTGGACGTCTACGCCGCAATCCAGTATTAAAAAGTCGCCAAGAATTGTTTCGGCTTGATATCACTCGGTGGTAAGTTCGTTGAAACTGAGACCGTAGCTCTCGAATTGGAACTGACCGATTTCTCCTGGCAAATTGAGCCAAGTAGCGATCCTCTCGTTCAGTCGTTACCCTTGTACTGTCCAACCTAGGACGAGATCTTATATTTCCGGTGTCCATATACCGTTGTATAATTCGGCTTACAGTACTTCGCACTAAATTTAAACGATCAGCAATTGCAATGCCTGCTGAGACCTTCTTCATGCAAAGCGATAATTCGGGCCCTATCGCAGGCAAAAATTTCGTGCCCTGGCATTTTTGTCGCCTTTCACAACACTTACTACAAGATTGAACTCGAACTGAGAAACAAAATTTGACTGCAAATAGCGAAACCATACACATTCCATCGATAAGGTTTTCTTTCATTGCTTTTATGACCTATTTTTTGTAGACACATATTAAGGTATTTATAAACATAGCCACAACAATATATGCTATGCAAAGAAATAAATTTATCTGGGGGGTGCAAGACTTTTGCCGATGAGTGTATTTTTTTTAATTTTCTTACCGTGGCGAAATACCCATAGGACTTTTTTGGAAAGATGAATCCACCACATAGTTATAGACATTTTCTACTTTACTTTTAATATATTAATCCTCCAACGCGTGAATAGACACAAAACTTTGCAATCTTGAATTTTTATTTTTTATCAAAAATTGACCACTTTACTTTTAACACTGGACTAGCATTTAGCGAAAGAATATTAAAAATAAGAATGAATAATATTGCAATTAAGTTCTTTTAAAAATATAGTGAATCGACTATCAAGAAATTATATCAATTTATCGTTAATTTTGATATAATTCATAACATATTATGTTTCTATACTTCAACAAAAATATATTATAAAAATCTTTAATTTTGTATTCTAAATATCCCATGTTTGTACATCGCTTGAATAAAGCATCCATAAATAAATGTAGTTATGAATAGATTCCATTGGAAGAAGTGTATGCAAACGGCCATATAAAAGCAGTAAAGCGGGTGTTTTTTGTTCCTTAAGCCATTCAGCAGATGATTTTATGTTGTTAGCCTTTGCTATTAACCTGTACTTCAGAACTACTAGCTGGTTACTTTCCGATATTTATCTTCACTTTAAAACACTCTTACTTTCGATACTTCCTTATTTTACTTTTAGTTTGGAATAAAATATAGTACCCTAGCCTACATTTTTAGGAGTGGAACTATGGAAATATATTTGATATCAATTAAACTTTTAATTACGTAATTGAGGGTGAGATTTTTACATTTTTATTGTTGTCAACCACTGAGATATTCGGCGCCGCGCCGGGCTGACCAACTGGAATTTAAATTTCGCGCTGGAGATTCAGGTGGTAGATCTGCTGTAAAAAATGTCAAGTTGCCATTTATTTATTTATTTCCTGACATTGTCATTCGTCTTGACACTTTAGTTTTGCATTACGAGTTATTAGTTTAAACAACTAATACTTTAAGCTTAAAAATGTTTACTAGCAGACCTTGCAGTCGAACATAGTCCTTTTTAGAACTTTTTTAGAGCGAAGTGTACAAGATAGCTTAATAGCCGTAAAAAACTCATCGCAACTTTATTGGAATATTTGGAACGGGAAAGCGGTAGTAATGGACCTTTATGTCCCTTAAGTGCTCTTAAGAAAGTGAGTTTTGTTGATGCACATAATATCTGTTTATATAGGGTTGTTCACCACATACGACACGGAGTATTGTAGCTAAACGATTATATTTTTACAAATTTCAAGTTTTGGGTTCGATGAAGGACTATTAGAGGTACAATTTAAAAATAATTTGACAAGATACAGAGTGTCCCAAATAAGTAAAAAATATCAAAGTTGTATTTTTTTAAATAGAACACCCTGTATATTATTACATTTTTAGTTTCTACGATTAAAATAAAGGTAAATTTGATTAAGGTTTATTATACTTAAACCTTACCGTTTTTGAAATATTTTCATTTTGTGAAATTGCAGTAAAAATTTTATAGCTTCATTTCTCCAAGGGTATCAATGTTTTTAATACTAAATATTTAATGAAGTTGATTTATTGATCTGTTATTATGTTGCAATAATAAAAATAATACTACCTTATACAGAGTGTCTAAAAATTTATTTTAAATAATTATTAGCTTCAAACGGCAATAACTTGTTTAATTTAAATGGAACACCCTGTATATTTTACGAGAATCAGATGCACAATTTAATTGTTTATCAAATTATATTATACCATTTTTTACCTATCTCTTTAAGTTTCCGTAGAAAATGCATTTTCTTGTAATTTAGAACTTATTTATCAATATACCCATGGACTATTGACATTTTAGATTATTTTTAAAGATGTACCAAATTTTTAAAGAGTACAGATACTAATATCACCGTACATGCTAATATTGTCGATATAATTCGTTTATTTCATTAAAAAATAAAAAAAAAACTGTTTATATATTTGTTAAAGAGGATCAATTAATATGATTCCAGTATTCAAACTACATTAACTGACTGTTTGCGTTGATTAATAATAATTGCTCCAAATACTAAAAAACTGAATTTTGTATGGGCATTAGACAGTGTGATAAAAAGTAACACCTTAAAAATGATATTTCATTTTTTAATACATGCTTATTTATAACAACAGAGACTTTAATTTGATAACTTATTATTATATTGATTTCTGACTCAAATCCACATTTATTTATAATAATTTATTAACGAACACAATTAAGTATGTAATTAATTAGCATATGGGCGGAAATAATGGTATTATATTTAATTAATGGTATACTCTTTTATAAAGATTTAAATAGTTTTCTTTTTGCATACAAATGGGCTAGTAATATTATCGTTTTGCTAAAAACGATAATATTACTAGTCTGTACATTTTGTACATTTGTTGCTTTAATCTAAAATGTCAATATTCCATGGATATATTGATAAATGAGATCTAAATTATAAGAAAATGCATTTTCTACGAAAACTTGAAGGGATAAGAAAAAAATGGTATAATACAATTTGATAGACAATTTAATTGTGCATCTGATTCTCCTAAAATATACAGGGCATTCCATTTAAATTAAAGACGTTATTGCCGTTTGAAGCTAATAATTATTTAAAATAAATTTTTAGACACTCTGTATAAGGTAGTATTATTTTTATTATTGCAACATAATAACAGATCAATAAATCAACTTCATTAAATATTTAGTATTAAAAACATTGATACCCTTGGAGAAATGAAGCTATAAAATTTTTACTGCAATTTCACAAAATGAAAATATTTCAAAAACGGTAAGGTTTAAGTATAATAAACCTTAATCAAATTTACCTTTATTTTAATCGTAGAAACTAAAAATGTAATAATATACAGGGTGTTCCATTTAAAAAAATACAACTTTGATATTTTTTATTTATTTGGGACACTCTGTATCTTGTAAAAATATTTTTAAATTGTAGCTCTAATAGTCCTTCAACGAACCCAAAACTTACAATTTGTAAAAATCTCATCGTTTAGCTACAATACTCCGTGTCGTATGTGGTGAACAACCCTGTATATTTATAATTTATTTATTTTTGTTACACAAAATATTTTGATTAAAAGAAAATATATAAAAGTGGGCAACGCTGTGCCGGTCAAGCTTAATTACGTG